GTAATTCCACGCTTGAGGTGGGCCGAGTAGAGGCGTGGTACCTCATAGGCGTGGTACCGCATAGGCTAACTTAGGACTAGAGTTTGGTTCAGTGGGGGACATAGGACCCGGGTGTGTGACTTCGGTCCGACTCCGGGGAGGGGGTTGCCACCCTTCCTCGGGGATAACCTGTGTCCGCGGCTAGTCTCTAGGCCGAGAGTGGGGAGGAGTCTCTCAGTGGGGGAGGACATGAAGGTAGCCGAGTGAAACAACGCTCCTTCTCTGGTCCATTTGATCCTTCTGAGCTCATAGGCTTCTTCTCCTTGCGGGATAGAGGTGGTCTCTCGAGTGGCCAAAAAGAAATAGTGACTTAAGGAATTTTCCTTTGATGATATTGCATGAGCTTAGAAGCCGTTCCGGAATGGATTAGCGTGTGTACGTACGGAAGTGTTGACGTGTGGTGTTACTCCTTTCGACTATGGACGGGTGACTTTGATGTGGGTGTCTATGTAGAGGAGGGGCAAGATCAGGGAGAAAACTTCCTTCGTGGGTGGGAAGAGGCAATATGCCACTCCCGTGGTTCGCGGGAGGAATTGAGGGGTTACAGGTATAGGTATTTGTACTCTCTAGGATATCGAACCTACCCCAGAGGTGGTCGCCCGGCGCCGGTAATTCCGGACACTTATCTCGATGAATCAGATAAATGGAAAGTGCTAGTAGGGATTGTGGAGAGAATAGTGAGAGCGGCGAATCCATGAGCTTGAGGCCCTTGGAGTTTGAACCCGCAGGAATTAGTGTAGGTGATCGAGGCGGGGKAAACGTGTGGTGCTATACCTTCTACTGGTGGACCGGACACTTCGACATAGCCTTGTACGTAGAAGAGGGAGTTGATAGAGAGGCAGAATATTTGGATAGCTGGGAGGAAGCGATCGGTCACGCACAGCTTGAGAGGCAACTGCTGGGGGCTTATGAGATAAACTACTTCTACTCGTTGGGGTGTAGGACGTATTCACGAGGGGGTAGGCCTGTTCCCACTATTCCGGATGCTTTCCTCGATGGGTCGGACGAGTGGAGAGCGCTGGTTCAAATCATAGAGGAGATAGTCCAAGGGGATGGTTAGGATTATAGAGGGTACTGAGGAAGACGGGGTTCGGATAGAGAAGGCAGATTTAAGCAAAGTGTAGGTGATCGAGGCGGGGTAAACGTGTGGTGCTATACCTTTTACTGGTGGACCGACCACTTCGACATAGCCTTGTACGTAGAAGAGGGAGTTGATAGAGAGGCAGGATATTTGGATAGTTGGGAGGAAGCGATTGGTCACGCACAGCTCAAGAGGCAACTGCTGGGGGCTTATGAGATAAACTACTTCTACTCGTTGGGGTGTAGGACGTATTCACGAGGGGGTAGACCTGTTCCCACTATTCCGGACGCTTTCCTGGACGGGTCGGACGAGTGGAGAGTGCTGGTTCAAATCATAGAGGAGATAGTCCAAGGGGATGGTTAGGATCATAGAGGGTACTGAGGAAGAAGGGGTTCAGATAGAGAAGGAGGATTTAAGCAAAGACAGGGAGTGCTTCAGCGTCCCCTTAGACCACCGCACGGAGAGATATCTAGCCAGCCGCGAGAAGGGATTAGAGCTAGAACGAGGGGGTTTTCTTTGGGCTCGTTTCGCAGTAGGAACTTGGGAAGGGGATAGGTGGTTCCGAAATAGGCCCCAAAACGGGAAGAGACCTAGACGAACAGTGATCCATGTGGAAGGAACTGTTTATTTGAGTAAGGAGGTCTGGGTCGATTACGTCACTCACTTGGTCCTGGGTTGGTACCGTGCGGATCATTGGGAGGCACGAGCGGGCCCGATTTTGAGGCAGATCTTTGAGGCTGAACCCCTTAGACACTGTCCACCCGTTGAAGTAAGGTTGACCTGCGAAGAGTACCCCCGCGCCACAGGGTGCATCAGAGCCATATTCCCATCGTTCGTTTTTCAAAGGGTGAGCGGGAAGGAGGAGCGATACGAGAGGGTTGTGCGGTCCATAGTGCGAGAAAGGGGGTGGCAACTCTCTGTTAGGTCGCTCCATCGGTACTACACCTATTGCGTGGATAACCCGGTACCATACGGGATCAAGGCATGTAGGATTCGTGTAGGGATCTTTAGGGAGTCTACCCGGGACCGCGAGGGAGGAAGGGACTACGGATACCAAAGAGTCTTCGGGGTGCCACAGAGAATGTTCTAAATAAATGGTGTTCCATATTAGAGAGCGGGGATGCTTCTTAGATTCCTCTTTCGGGACCGTGAGGCCCTTAGGCTGGTCCCTAGCAACGGGGAAGTCCCTGATTGGGAAAGGATAGAAGGGGGGAGGTCCACGATTAGTGGGGAATTCGTGTGGGTAGAATCCAAAGAAGTAGAAGGCCAAGGTCTTCGGCGGAGTCTTGAAGTAACCGCTGTTATTTTCATAGCACCGGAGGCTTGGGCGAAGCTTGTAGTACCCCTAATTCAGGGACAAGGGGGTGGGCTAGAAAAATTGTTGCGAGAGGCGAGAGAGGTGAGAGGGGAGTGGATAAGTAGGGTTAGAGAGCGATTTGCATTCGTGTCCGTGGAAAGGGAGAGGTTCGCGAGGGGAAGAGAGTTCCCGAGGTCAAGTTACCAGTTAACTGTGAGGGTGCCGTCTTACCTGTTCCCTAGAGCAAACGAGGGAAAGATAGTGTGTCTTCTAGAGCGGGGTAGGAGTTTGGGACTTACCTTCAGGGCCCTGTGGATACTGTATATGCACTGCATCGATCAGGGTATTCCGCCGCGCAGGAGACTCTGGGATATTTTCTGGAGACTATGGTCTTTTGAAAAGCCCTTCACTCTCTCTCCTGAAAAATATCGCAGGTGGGTCTTTAGAATGACGATAGCAGATGGTGAAGTTCATGCTCAGTGAAAACGGGGTGGTAGAATCGATAGAGGCCAGTGACGCCGATAAGGTTTTAGTTCCGGGAGACCATCAAGTGACTCCTTATTGCATGAGCGTTGAGAAAGGGGGATTGATCAGAGAAGGGGCCTACATGTGGATTCGAGCTCGAAGGCTCACTTGGAAGGAAGGTGTGGAAAAAGGAGGTCCACCCGACCTCGATCGCTTCCTGAAGATTCGGGCTATCATTTTTTTCAACGAAGAGGTATGGACCGAAATCTGGAGAGGTTTGGTGACCGGGCAACTTACGCATTTTGAATACCAAGAATCCGCGAGGATGTTGGCAAACAACCTGGTGTTAGCTGACTACGAGGAAGGAACTTTCGAGTCGTGGTCGCTAGTGTCCTTCGCCGAGCCAGGAGAGGTCCCTCGCGCGTCCGGGGTCCTCCACGCTAACCTGCCCCAGTTCGTGGCCAGTTCGTTCCTAAGAGACCCGGAGGAGAAGGTAGTAGCGGTGCTTAGGGCGGCTCGAGAATCCGGGGTGCGGGCCAGAGGTTTGTTCTAGCTTTATACTTGGTGCGTGGATGCGGGAGTTCTCCCAAGGGGTGAGCTATCCACCATATTCGGGAGATTGAGAGAGTTTGAGGGACTCCGATCACTCGTCTCGGACGTTCCGTACTCCCGCCTCTTCGGGGAAGAGCAGGTGCCTAACCGGCGGGGTTTCGAGGGCCGATGATAAGGGGGATCCCAAGAACTCTCTAGGCGTCCATAGAGCCCGTAGAGGATACCGGGGAGGTTGTTAGTATCACTCTGCCTAGGGCCTGATTGACTGAGCCAACTAGGACTCTCCTGCGAGAAGAAGGGGAGATCCGGCGCGGTAAGGCGTTCATACGATTTGCTGTGAGTCGCGAGGGGAGGGTTGTAGTTGGAGAAGCCCGAATATTCCTTTCGAAGGAGGGGCTTGTTGAGACAGCGCATAGCTTACGGATTGGGCAGGACCCTCTCTGGGACGCTCAAGCCGTGAGAGGTCAGCTAGGAGAATTAGTAGAGGAGTTGAGGCCTCACGAAGGGTGCGACGAGGAATATCTAGTGACCTACGGGGGTTGGGAAGAAATACTGCGGTTCATCTCCAGCGAGCCGATGGAGGTCCCCCATTTCATTTTTGAACGGGTTTACCCCTCCGAGGCTGTAAAAAGGGTGGTAGAAAGAAGGGTTTCCATCCTAAGTCAGTTCAGGTTCACGGAATCGGACCTTCACACCTTGTTAACTTCGTGTTTTCGGAATCCCTACAGAGACGATTGGTCGACTCTAGAAGACCTGGGTTACGCCTTTGAAGGGTGGGGTCGGCACGCGAGGGAGTCTAAGATATCGTGGAGATACTTAGGTAAGATCTGCGAGGGAGAGCTAGCGGGGTTGGACCCCTCATACTTTATTCGGATAGCAATTGCGTGTCGTCGACGGAAGTTAGGGGATGACCGAGCCGGACCTTGAGGAGCTTGTGGGGTTGGATAGAGTAAGGGAAGAAGTTCACCGGATCCTTGCTCTTTGCTGGGAGAAAGAAAGGAGGGCTAGGCCTGGGTCCTTAGCCAGGATCAAGCTACTTGAGACAGCCGCAATCGCTATCCTAGACGAGGTAACGATAGATCTTCTCACGCAGTGAGGGGATGAGAGCTTCGTTTGTTTCCAATAGGATCCGTTGGGAATTAGAGACCTACGAGGACGGTAGCGAAGTTAGGATCGAAGGGAGTGCAGAGCTTAACCCGGAATTGGGAGAGGACCGGGTAGTCCGCGCCAAGACAGAATTTCTAGTGGAAGTTCGACGGCTGGCCTTGTGGAAAAGAAGAAGCTGGACCACGCTAGTTACCTTTTCAGTCCACATTAGAGACGCGAGTGGCGTGAGATTCTCGAGGACTTGAAGGGAGCCTTTGTTGGAAGTAGAAAGAAGATTCGAGGAGGACTCTAGGTATCTAGGAATGCCACTGACATCTAGGACACACCTTGTGGAGACCCGATTTTGGGATAGAACGGGAGAGTACGAGGAGGCTTTGCACCTAACTCTGCGAGGGGACAAGGGGACCGGTCGCGCTTAGTGCGAGGACTCGTTGGTCGAGACCGCCATAAGGTTGGCAAGCGTGAGGTGAGGCTCCTATGATTAGATACGAGAGGGGGGACCCTTACGGTACCTTTGATAGGGCTTGGACGTGGGGAAGACGATATGGAGTGACTCTCCCGAAAGTTAGAGGGGGAGGAGAGGTGACTACCGAGTTCTTCGAAATTTACGAGCAAGAGACAGTGGTCAGGTTCTCAATGGTGTCCGAGGGAAATAGTTGCACGAGAAAGGCGAAAATCGTTTTGTCCCCTGACGCCCGGCTAATCTTTGCAACTGAATTGGCGGAAGGGAAAGATCCTCTAGGCATCGCCAAAAGGGCCTTAGAACGAGTAAGGAGATTGAGAGGGGGTGGCACGGAGAGCCCCGTGATTGATAAGGTAGAGTACCGAGGGAGGACGGAAGTTCCAAAGGCAGCCCACGGGAGAACCTGGGATATCCCTACCTGGGCCTATCGACTGCTCTATGCTGAAAACGAGACCGTGAGGAGAGTCCTGTTGAGGGGTCAGGTGACAGAGAAATTCCCGCTGGGTGAAGAAGGGGGACACGAGTTATTCACCCAGTGCTGGGAGTCGAGGGAAGACACCGACTTCGAGTGGTGGACGCGCGTTGGGGAGTTCATCAAGCCCCTGTTCTCCGGACAAGCTGGTGATGCGGACAGGGATTTGATTAGGAGGTGTGCGCAAGAAGGGATTAGGGGCATCTCGGACCTTGAGATCGCGAATCTTGCATTGGCCGCTGGCGGAGAGAAGAAACTGAGAGATTCTTGGTGGACTGTGACCAGCGAGGAGTCGGGGGGAGAGAGTGCTGATGAGGACTCTAGTGAAGAGAAGGGAGGATCGGAGGAGGAGGAGAACTTGGAAGATAACGTAGACAGCAGTGAGGGGGACGAGCCGGAAGGTTACGCGGACGATAGTGAGGGAGGCGACTAGAAATTGACAGAGGGAGCAGAGACGCTAGATAGGGCCGAGGGGGGTCCGGAAATGGCTTCGGGAGAGAGACAGGCCTCGGAAGGGCAAAGAGCGGGCACGGAAGTGCGAGTGCATAAGGATGTGGGGTCACGGGTGCCGGTAAACGAAGGGGTCACCGAGGCCGCGAGAGGCGTTCCGGTGGAATCCCGGTGGGCGGACCTAATGGATGCGGAAGCAAGGTTGGAGGAAGCACGGGAATTTCCTGGAGATAGACAGGGGTATCGAACACTAAAAAAGGAGGAAGAGGAGTGTCAGGACAGGAGGGACTTAAGAGAAGGGAGGTCAGTGGAAGTCGTTGGCAGGCCGCGGAAATGGGTCGAAAGGGTCCCTGAGGCCGTCACCGGTGAAAGGCAGGCCTTAGTGGGGCCGAGAACTGGCGCGGAGATGCGGGTGCCTGCGCGAGAAGGGGCGATCGAGGGCTCGAGGGGCCTTCCTATAGAGTCTCGGTGGGCGGATTTACCTAACGCAAGAATGGGAGAAACTCTCGAATTTCCAAGAGATAGGTTGGGTTACCGACCACCCAGGAGAGAAGAGGAAGGGGGACCGAGTAGAAGGGACCTTAGAGACAAGAGGCCCGCGGAGGCAGGGAGTAGGCCACGAAGATGGGCCGTAAGAGAAACGGATGCTGCCTGGGTTCCCGGCGAGATAACGGGCAGAAATCAGAGGGTGGAGGCCTGGAGGAGCTTTAGGGGGCAGGGCCAAGCTCGGTGGGAGACGGATTGGCCGGATGAGCGGGGCCGCTACGGGGAAGACCCCTGGGAACCGCCTAGACCCCGGGGCCGGGTGGAGGAGCCGAATCCCTCGTGGTACAAGCCGTACGATCCGACAATCGATGGGTCAATCGAAAGTCCTTATTTTCGCTGATACGACGACTGACGGGTCCCCTATTACGACGTCAACCTAGGTCAAGAGGCATTTTTCTTCGACGGACGGCATGTGACTGGGTTCGTGGAGAAATGAGAGAGTTATGCTTACCTTAAAAGATTTTCCGAAAGAGAGTCGATCGACTATTTCATCCAGCACTCGGACCCCGAGTTAGTCCCCGCGATTCGGCCTATCTACCCCTCAGACGGACAGTGGAGGACCTTCAGGGCGAGCCCATTGCAGACTTTCGCCTGTGATGACCTGATCCCGACCATGGAGGGCTTGCGACGAATTACAAGGGGGGAACGGGAGAGCTTGGTAGCCTTCACCCCGTAGGTTCAAGTGTCTGTCCCAAGCCCTAGTGGATAGGGGGATGCTGTCTGAAGTAGATAGGTGTGTGATATTCATGCTGCGCCTACCTGAGGAAAAAAGGAAAGAGGTCCTTGAAAAGGCCCCGAGGGATTCCGCCAATTTCGAGAAAGTCGCCGAGGTGGTTTTCACAAGGGGAGGAGTAGATGTGAGGGAGTACATGAAAGAGACCTTAGACATGGCACTCCGCAACATGCGAGGCATGCGGAACGATGGTCCCAGGGGGAGCGATAGACCGCCCCCGGGTCCACCTGTTTCCTGGTGGGGAGAACGGCCGACTGGATGGAGGAACGAATCGAGTGGCCGAGGTTGGAGGAACGACATGGAGATGGGGGGGAATCGTGGTTCTGATTGGGGGGGTTCCCATAGGAAGGATGCTAGGGATGGAAGGTGGGGAGACGTCCCTCAAGCAAGGGCTTCTGGGCCGCGACCGGAGGTTAGGGCGCCACCACCGCCAGCAGCTCCAAAACAAAAAGTGAAAAGAGAGAAAAAACAAATTAGTGAGTGGGCAAGCAAGTTTTGACACCACGATCTTTGCCGATTTTTCATTTTTTTTTTGGCTCAACAGAATGGCTCTAGACTTAAGAGGGAGATACCCTACATCACAAAAAACTCACAGAAAATTTTTCAGGAAAAAAATAAATAAATGGGGAAACTGCTCCGGGGTCACACTTTTAGTTCAAAATGGCAAGTAAAACACTTAATGGCAACATCAACGTCGTCCCAGTTCAAATAGGCAAAAGAAACTTTTGTTGGCAGGAGCACCACAGCTGTACTTCGTATCAGGCATAAAGATCACTAACAGTGTGGCTGCGCTGGGCCCAGGCCACGAGGAACCGGGACGTGAGGAGACCGCGTTGGGGGGGAGGAGGACTTTGATTGGGAAGGAAGAGAGAAAGATGAGGAAGAAAAGCGGAGCGAAAAAAGAAACAAAAAAACAAACTGCAACGATGGTTCGAAAAAAAAGGTCGTCGGGAAGGAAGAGAGAAAGATGGAGGGAGGACTTCGATTGGGAAGGAAGAGAGAAAGATGGAGGAAGAAAAAGTGGAGAGGGAAAAAAAAAAAAAAACCCTGCAACGATGACAACGTCAAAAAGGTTGACACCATCATCTGCTCTGCGAGTTTGCTTTTATTGTTTTTTTTTGAAGTGGGCGACGGCTTTGAGATTAGCCAAACGCAAAGCTTGTATGCTCTTCGTACGTAGAATGCGTGCATGCTTGCTAACATGCAATAAACGCATGCATGCTCTTCGTCCTAACTGCCATGGAGGCATGCATGCTCTTCCTCGGATTGGTCCTCCGCCTTTGAGCTCTGCGTACGTAGTAGAATGCGTGCATGCATGCTAGTGGGCCCATGCCGAGAGCATGCATGCACGTATTCTAAAGTCTCGTTTTCTTTTCTGTTGTCGACCAGTTTCACTTAGGGGATGCAGACCTTATTTCTATTCTTTCCCTCACGGGTATGGAAACACGGTTGCAAGGGTGGAAGAAATCGCACTACGGCTTCTTCTTCATCTATTTCTTCCTTTCACGGCCGAGGTCATGGGAATGGGGGGAGGTCATGGGGGCGGCTTTTCACGGGAGTACCTGAACCCGTACGCTACGCTTTCTGCCGTTGGTTTGACAGATTTGTCCAAACCTGCTGCTGATTTTTTTTTTTAGTGTTTAGACTTGGGGCACACCGTGCGTCTTCAGTTTTCCACTGTCTTTTCGTGATTTTTTTTTTTTTTTTTCAGCCGATGCCAAACGTGTGGTGATAGTGCAAGAACGGCTGCAGTGATGGTAATGACAWGGTTGTTGTCATTTGTTGGTTATATTCTGCAAGGGGGAAAAAAAMCTTGGAAATGTCTTGGGGGACCTGCTCGCATGCCGCCTGCGACTTCTTTTTTTGTTTCTGCAAATCTCCATTGCATGACGGAATATACGTGGTGTTTAGTGTGATGCTTCCGAATCTTGTGTGTGGTGCTCGAAAAATCCCCCTCCTCTTCGGGGGGTGGGGTGGGGGGGCGGACCGCGTGATTACTCTATGGATGTCTGTCCTCTTTTGCTTGCCATCCTTCCACAAGGAGGTGCATCCAAATGTTCTTTCTTTGCATCGCGGTGATTTGAACAGCTGATCGCAGTAACTATACGGATCTTTTTTTTTCAGTTATTTCTTTTCATTATTATTATTATTTTTTAAAGACATGTCGGGATTACGTCAACCGCCACTCCATCGGGCCATTTCAGCGCCACTGAACTTGACGACATGCACCAGGGCTGAGTGTACAGTGTTCAGGCAAGGGCTAGGTTTGGAGGGAAAAGTCCATTGGGGCACGACTACTCAGAAAGCCCTGCCTGGCTGGCAGAGCGGGAAAAAAAAAAAAAAAACCCTGCCTTCTACTCATGGGGGGACAGCAATATATTTTTCTCTCACCTCGCATAATTTTTAACTGCCGTTCTCCCATGTCATGGAACGTGTCCTTTTTTCATTACCTACCTATCCCTACTCCTGAGGGTAT